CAAGTCGGCGGTCCTGCAGCACGTATGCGCTTCTTCTCAAAAGCGACGTCCTTGTCGCAGTTGGGGGCTCGGGATCGCGTCTGCAGTACCAATGGCCAAGGGAGGCCAATACCCCTTCTTGAAGGAATGCACAATATTCCGTTAACCATATGCGGCAAACTCGTATCACTGAGGACATACTAGTTAAGGTGTACTGGGCCCTCTGGGTATGCTGTTGTCAGAATAGGGCGCTCAAGGACACTGACCGTTTTGGGTATGTAGACACGGTATATTTGGCAAGTGCAGGTGGAGTTGAGAAACACTTCAAGTTTGCAATAGCTGTCCGGTGCAATCGAAGCAGACTGACACGTAGTTAGTGGTTCAGGCTTTAGCGTTTCCTCGTGAGCCTCTGAGTGCGAGCTCGAACTGCACAGATGCATGCCCTGAATCACATTGACTGTCGTGCTGGCTGTTCACCTGACTGAAGCGCCCGCTACCTTCCCCTGCAAAATCCACAACCCTAAACCCTAAACCCTAAACCCTACCCTTCCCCTAGGGAATCCAAAAAAAACATCCTACCAAGACTACCCTTTATCCGCGCTCCGACTTAACAGAGACGACCTACAATTTAGGTGGGCTCACCACCCAGTAATAGTCACCATAAGGGATACTAAGGAGTATATTGAGGTCCTCTTATATTCCTATTATACCACTATTGCAGGGTGGGGTCCTCCTAACCTACAATCCACAAATCTGGTCAGACTTGAGTTCCAAAGGCGCTGTTTAATGCAGAACCCATTTGGTGCAAAAAACTCTTGGACTGGGTTGGCCCTTAAAACCCTTTGAAAAATATTAGCATATAGGGTCCCTTTTAAAGCCATTAGGGAAAACATTAAATATCTCAGGTGCCTACCCAGTAGAATTGAAGAACACAAACTCCAGCTCTAAAGTGACAGGCCCATTTTGCCTAGTCAGGCCCAGATTAAAATGGATTCAGGTTTAGTTTCAAATCCTGAGACTAGGGAATTCAGTATGTCGTCTTCTGGAGACGGCCACCTTGTCATTTCTTTTGTTAAGGTCTACCCTAAACCCTAAACCCTAAACCCCTAAACCCTAAACCCCTAAACCCTTAGGGTTTATTTATGCCCCGCTTAATGAAGAGCAGAGATGACTGGCGTCAAGTAGAGAATGGACACTATAGCGATCCCTCTATATGGTAGTTTCCCTAAATAGGGAAATCCCAATATACACCCCAAAATACTATGATCCTTAATATGGGGACCCCAAAGAGGTACCCCTAATTGTGGGAAATCCCCATATCACACCACTGACAAACCCAACATTCCATGCCATCACTCCTTTGCTTCCCACCAGATCCCTTGCTCTAAGCCCCAAACCTCAAACCTCGGGACCTGGTACCCTGAACCTTGGGTACTGCCCCCACCCAGTAACAGTCTATATTAGGAGTCCTATTAAGGGCTATATATGACCATATTGTAAGTAATATCCAACTGTTACTGAGTGGGGGCAGTATCCAACCTAAACCCTAAACCGCCTTCTTGTTTAAAGGGAAAGTTCTTCTCTGGCGGTAGTAAGCCCGGAATCCCCAAGTCAACCCTTAGAAGACGGACCCCTAGTGAACGCAAAGTCAACGTTGCGGTCAGGGCCTAAATCCTAAGGCCTACATCATACTTGGAGGGTCAGGGGGACTTCTCAAGTATACTTCTTCTACCCCTCACATGACCCATAGCAAATATTCCCCAGAAAATTCATGGAAAGGGGTCCTTATTCGAGACTTGGAAGTATACTTAACTACAAGAGGGACCCTTATGTCCACTCTTGAGGGCTGGCTTCCAGCTTCTAAAGGGCCAGGAATGCAAGGCCACGTATCATCATTCAGGATTTAGGTCGTTGATTGCTGGGAGCTGGTCCATGATGGGGCCATTGGCCAAACGTTCGCGGCACTGATTCTCTAATCGACAATAACGTTTGGGCTCTGGCCTACATCACCTGCTTGCCAACCCTAAACAGAAGACCCTAATCGCAGCTGCAGTTGAAGCACCAGCCTCCTTATCTTTGCCCGGGAGATTACACAACCTTGTTTGGCCATACTTTGAAGGGCCGGAGATTACCTAGGTATAGCCAGTGATAGCACGAATACCAGCTTGTTAACTAATTCCCTCTCCCCCTAAATCCGCAAGGTTTAAGGCCTTCGGTGCTGCCATATTCCCACAAAAAGCACCATGCGGCCCAGAAACTGGCTTGTGATCGCAAGTCTCCACCACATGCTCGAAGCTACCTGTAAGAACAGTTCGAACAGCATTTGGAGGCGCCCTAGACTTCCTACGTAGAGTTTACTGTTTGGGATTTAAGCTTTGGGAATGAATGTGTGGTGGAAGAAACCTAAGAAATGAGACTCTTTGCAGACCCACAAAGCTACTCCCCGTGTTATTGAACAGCCCCCATGCCCTCGTGGGTAACCCTAAGCTGCAGTCTACTCAAAACCCCTTCTTCAGGTTCCCGAGTTCTGATAGACCCCAAACAACCTAGCCCTGCACCCTAGAAACCTAAACCCAAAGCCCTGAACCCACCAGCCCCAAGTATTGAATATGTCCCCCAAAAAATATCAGTATGGTAAGGTTTGGGGGCTGCTTGACTTTCCTTTAGGGTCCAAGTACCCGATAAACATACTTACCCAAAACCTGTGCTACAATCACTGCTACCACAATCCCATGTACGCAATTATTGGGCCCATGGACCCTAAACCCGACATATCTTTTGTACCTCAGGATTAGTATGAAGCGATGAACACTAAACCCTAAGCCTTAAACCAAGCCCTAAACCATACATCCTATATGTCCCAAATCCCAGGGCCTAAACCCTAAACGCCTAAACCTGACAAATAGCTGTATTAGGCACATGGACCCTTAGGGATTAGTATGAAGCGATGAGCCCTAAACCTTGAACAATAAACCTTGAACCCTGAATCCCTAAACCCTAGACCTTAAATCCTAAACGCTAGCCCTTAAACCCTAAACCTTACACCCTAAGCCCTAAACCTTAAACCCTAAACCTTGAACCTTAAACCCTAGACCTTCAACCTGCAACCCCAAACCTTAAACCCAAAACCTTATGTATAAAGCGATCAATCTTTTAAGAGGAGCTGAGTCCGCTCGCTACTTCAGCCCTAGCCTCATACTTGGTAATCATGGAAAAGAGAATGGAAACTACACTATTTGGGGCTTTAGGGGTTAGGGTTTAGGTAGGGTCTAGGGTCAGGGAGACTTAGTAAGTAGGTGCATAAAAGGGCAGAACTGGGGTTATCTTCTTGCCTTTAGGGGTTTATAAGTATACCTACTAAGTCCACCTGGCCCTCCAAGTACAGAATCGCCCCGCAAGCCCCAGCCCTAAATCCGAAGCTCCAACCTGAAATTCCAGATGCCAAGCCCCAATGCTCCACTCCAAACCCCCTAAGCTGGGTTGCTGGTAAGGAACTTAAATTAAGTTACTATGATAAGGAAACCCCATACTTCACTATGTACACATATTATGGTAATTTCGTTGATTTTTTTTTGCAGCAGCTCGCTAAGGTTCAAGCACGTGGCCTCGGTCCCGGTAGAGCAGTGCACGCGAGTCACCCAGGTTGGCAAAAAGTACACGAAAGCCGCCTCTGGGCTGATTTTTGGGCCTTAACAATTAGAAAAGGGTTTGGGGGCACATCATACTACAAGCATATAGGAATTATAGGGGTAGTTTGTCAGCCTTCTACATTCAACGGGTTCCTCTTTGAAGGCTTTCTACATTGCCGGGGTTTCACTTGAGGCTTAGGATGACTGGTTCAGTGTTGCAGGGCATGCCTGCAGGTGGGAGGTCTTGGGTTTTGGACCTAGATAGGGTCTAAGCTGTGCAGCTGAAAGAAGCAGAACATGCCTGTTCCTTACAGAATCACTTCTTGAAGTGAAGGACACGAGTCTACGCAAAGTAATTGGTTCGGAGCAATTATTTATAGTGTTAGTGTTAGCATTCTCCAGGTTACATACAGTTCCTTGGTCAAATTATGGGCCATTTTCCGGGGTCCTCATATTGAAGAACCATATTACTAGGTGCTAAGAAACGCCTACAGTAGGGGGGTTCGAAGGCTTAGGGGTTATAGCAGGAGATTGCAGTTTAGGGTTTAAGATTTTTACACACGTTAAGGTGTGGAGTTTAGAGTTTTGGCGTTGATGGTGTGACAAATGGGTTAAGTGTGTAGGACTTGGGCCATACTTGCAGGGACCTATGGTGTCGGGTTTACTGCAGACGGTTGAGTCTTTAAAGATATGCTTGTTGGGCCAGGGGGACGCAGTAAGAAGGTTAGAAATGGGGATACCTGAGGGCCATTATGTGGCTTAGTTGGCTCATGAATGTACTTACTAAGGTGCCCTGACCGTCCAATAAGGTTTCGGGCAGAGGGGGGCATTTCTGCCGACTAGGGGTCCATGTTTACTGTTTACGGGCGATTGTACGGAATCCCTCCACTGAAGGCAACGACAAAGGGCGAATTGCATCAGCGAAACAGCGAAGCTCTGTAACCTCAGGCAAGATCAATATGCAGCCCCCAAATTTATCGGAACACTCCAGAAACGCATTGGTTTAGGGCTTAGGGTTTAGGAACCCTAAACCCTGAACCCCATCCTACTGCATGCAGAGGGCAAGGCTGGCACCTCTTCATGTTTCTTAGACACACTCGGAGCGCAGGCGAAGAGGCATGCAGCAGTGCTCATTGGCACGTGCGTGCGGCTTCAGCTCTTAGCCGCCCCGTTGGGATCCCAAGTATTGGTTTGCGGTCAGGCATAGGGAGGGAGGGTTTAGGGTTTAGGACGTAGGGTTTAGGGTTTAGGCTTCGGGGTTCAGGTTTCAGCTCGTGGTTAAAGGCCATGGCCCCTACCGTGCCCACCTGAAAAGCCATCATTGCATTGTTCAACCTATGACTTCTTCGGGCAAAGATCGGAATCCCACCCAGCTTTCTCAGGGCTCACTGGTCAGGTTGTTGTCGTTCCTCTTGTTTTCCGGGTCAAGGATGCAATCTCCTCCTCCAGGCTTCACAATAAAAAGCTGATGAGGCCTAGTGCAGGGAATATTGAAGATCATGTTGACTGCATAGGCGCTATTCGGGGGCACCGGGTGCTGCTTCAGGATTTAGTGTTCATGGATAGCTGGTGCTCAAAGGAAAGGGAATCGTAGGCAATGATGCCCCTGGAGGGCAGTGTAGGGTTGAGGGTTTTAGGGTGGAGTACAGCGAAGCTGTCAATCACAGGGCTCCGGGTTCTCTTCAGAACTCCCTACCTTATTGGTGGCTAGTAGGGAATAGGGGAATATGATATAGGCTTAGGGTTTACGGGCTTACTGGTTCTCAGTAGGGAAGGAGGGAATATCATCCCTATAGTAATCCCTATACAACTTACAGTGTTCCCTTGTTCCCCACTAGGAAGAACCAGTAAGTTACATCTAATTGCTGACTTTCCCAGCACAAAAACAACTTAATCGTCTGGCTAGAAGAGGAGGATATAGGCCACGCAGGGCTGAAGGTCACCTGTCACCTCCTTAGCCACCAAGTGATCCATGGTCTAAACTCCTACTATCCCCCTTAATAACCCCTATAGTAGTCCCCAGTATAATCCTCTATATAACCCCCTTTAAGGAGTTTAGACTATATCTCAAGTCAACAGGAGGCTTGTCATCGTTGTCACTGCCATGGCTACCGTGAACTCTAGGGTTTAGGGTTCAGGATTTAGGGTTTAGGGTTTAGGATTTAGGGTTTAGGATTTAGAGTTTAGGGTTTAGGGTTGAGGGTTGAGGGTTTAGGGTTGAAAACCCATGCAGAACCTGCTCCAATGGCCGAGATGATCCCCTGCAATCAGCTCCTACCTGGCCCTGGACCCTCAAAATGACACAGACCCCTTGACTTACTGGTTCTTCGTGGGAAATAGGGGAATATGCTATATAGGGATTATATAGGGGCTATATTCCCTTATTCCCTGATAAGAACCAGCAAGTTATTTCTACACCCTGAACTGAAACGCGTGGCTGGTGTTTTGGCAAATATTCGCGTCTGGGTGGTGTCCTCGATCTCCTGTCGCTCTTTCTCCATGAGTGCCTCCAATTCCTCCATGGCAGCCTTGGTGAAACCAGTCACAACGGAGTTTAGGTTGCGTACTGCCCCCACCCTGTAACAGTCCATAACAGGGAGTCATATTAAAGGCTATATATAGCGCTCATAAATATTATCCAGCTGTTACAGAGTGGGAGCAGTACCCTAAGTGTAGGGTCTGGGGTTTAGGGTTCTCAGGCTAACATAAAACATGGATCTATGAAGTAACATAGGGGATATGCACGGGCCTGGTGCTTCCCGAAACTAACATGGAACGTCAGATAAGCTCTCTTAGCCCCTCTTGAAGGGTTCCATGGTGGTAAGTTCTAAATCCTAAACATCTTTATACATCCCTTCCAGGTTCCCCAGCCACCCCTTAATAAAAGGGGTACACTTTTTCCTAATATTCAACTTTAACAAGGAGACCTCAAAATAAACAGGGAAAAAGGGTACTACTAGGGCACCTAGCCTGTATACCCCTGCATAATATGTAACTGTAGGGTCATATTTCCATCGCCTGTCAGAAGACAGATTGTGGCGAGATGACGAGATACGTCGTGGGTTTCTGAAGGCTGTTTTAATGGAGCCCGGACCAAGGCGTGCTAATTAAGGCTTTTTGACGACTCTTTAAACCCTACTTGGACATTCAGGGAGGCGTAGTCAGTGGAGTAGTTACGCAGTTACGAGTAGTTTGCATAGCTGGAGCTATCCCAAAACTTACTACGCCCTTCCGACCCTCCCGAAATCCGCCCCCAATGCGCCCTTGCAATCAAAGATTCATGTATAAGGGGCACCGACTCGACTCGGATAAGGTTTGGAGTTTTGGATGTTTTGGGTGTATGAGTCCAAGAATGGGTTCCGAACCTGAACTGAGAACACCAAAGCTCTGAACCCTGACCTCAAAATCCTGAGCCCTCAGCTCCCTACATAAAGCTCATGTAGTGCCAGTCTAGAGCTTCCTGTTTGATGTGCAAGTTGATTCTCAAGTAGCTAACCCGCAGGAATCCGGTTATTGCAACCTATTACTGCCGCCATTTTTCATCATCTAGAAACGCGACCACCCCCAAACAAAAAAAAAAAAAAACGACGATGCCTCGGCTCTTCTTTCGCGATCCCGAGCGGATTGAAGTCGAACCTGGGTGTGTTTAGCTCTCCTTTTAGGGTTTAGGGTTGCATTGAGAGGTCGTGGGGTTTAGGGATGTTTAGGGATGTAGGTCTCAGAGTTTAAGGATGTAGGTCTTAGGATTTAGGGTTTAGACTTAAGGGATTTGGGTGAACCCTCCCTCAAACTCACATGAAGCCCGAAGGGTGGGTCCTAGTTCTATAGCTTGGGGGAGCGTGTCTGCTTCGGGACCTTTACTGTGGGATTAGCGCTCTAAACCCTAAGCTTTTTGGGCTTGGGGTTTAGGGTTTGTGGCGCGCTTAGCCTCGGGTTTAGTTGTGGTGAGGAATTACCATCCCGAGGAGAACAAACGCAATGATAAGGAGATTGGAGAAGAACATATAGGTCACCTCGGGCTCATTAAAGGGTTTAGTGTTTAGGCTTTAAGGGGTCAGGGGGGGTATATTATGGGGGGGTATACCGGAGATATAATATAGGGCAACCCACAAACTGCTCTTAAAAAGGCAAGGGGACGCGCATGTCTGCAATCTCGTCGTTCATCGCCTGATGCGACGCACGCTAAGTAGGATAAACCCTAAACCCTAAACAGCATGCAAAACTCTACCACCTGTACATTCATTAGTTCCCGAAAAGAACTTGGAACAGTTTTGGCTTCCCATCTAGCTGCTCCATATGCCAAGGAATAAGAGCCCTTACAGCAGCCTCACATTGTGAGAAACCCCTCCGCATGCCCAAAAGTTGGGGCCTATCTAATTAGCATAGTTTTGGGGTGTATCATGCCAGACTCACTCAAGAGCATTTTCGGGAACAAAATCACTAGGGGGTTAGGTTTTAGGAAAGCCTAAACCCTAAACCCT